CTGGAGGTGGTATTGCTTAATAACTATCAGAAAAATTTCTAATAGTTTAGTTGAAAAGTCTTGATAGAATGCTTTTCAAGAAGCTTTTTCTGAAATTTCAAATGAAAAAATAATAGAAATATAAACCAAGTGCTTATACCTCGCAAGTTTTATATGTATGTATGTATATATCTATATATATATATATATATATATATATATATCCAAGGTAGATATTATTCTTATTCTCAGTGATTTCTTCCTTGAATGTTATTATTCTTAAAGCTTTTGACTCTTTATATTTTTTAATGCAATCATTTTTTTACAAAGAAAAATTTAAAATATAATTATATAAAGGTCATACATAGAAACTTGAAGTGTTTAATTGGTCTAATTGCATATATATATATATATATATATATATATGTGTGTGTGTGTGTGTGTGTGTGTGTGAGTGTGTGTGTAAAATTTTAAAAAATTAATAGTTTTAAAAATTATTAAGAAGTTTGTAAAATATTTTAAAACTTTAATATTATTTAGAAGTCAAAAATAAATTATTCTTGATTTTTCAAATACTAAAAATTAAAAGAATTAAAAAATTAAAATAAAGATATTCAAAATTAAGATTAAATATATAAAAAACCAAAATAATCTCATTTAAAAAAATAATGATTAAAATTATAGTATATCTTAAGCTATTGCCACTTTAATTTGAACTATTGCCACTATACCTTGCTATCTACTGTATGCCACCATGGTTTTTGCTTATGCTACCACAAGCTACCTTAAAATTTAGTTGCACTATATGAGGCACTTTTTTCATCCAATTGCATTGTTACCAAAGTTAATTTTACTAGCTTATGACTTTTAATTACTTCTTTTGGCCATCTTTGTAACTATATATATAATTAATGTAAAAATGTAAGATTTTTTAAATTCAAATTATAATATTTATTATTTACATAAATTAAAATGTTAACTAGTTTAATTAAAATAAAGATTAAATATGTTTACAGATATGGATTTTTTTTTAAAATTAAATGATTTAAAATTTCACTCTTGTATTGTTGAGATAGTATATTACCAAAGTTATTGTACCGAAAGAATTGAAAATAATGTTTATATATATATATATATATAGAGAGAGAGAGAGAGATATATATATATATATATATATATATATATATATATTAGATTCACAAAATTCATTTGACTTTTATAAAATTTAATCTTTTTATTTTTTAAAATTATTTGGACCTCCAAACAACTACTTAAAAAATATTAAAATTAAGTATAATTAGCTGGTTAGACCAAAAATTGAAAATATTTTAGAAATCTCTTTTTTCTTCTTAAGCATGTTTGATATTATGTATATAAAAAATAAATTTTTATATTTTAATCTAAAAAAAGTTTTGATAAACTTTTGTGTTTATATGTTGAAAAAAACAAGTCTAATGTGATTTAATGTGATTTGTTGAAAAAGAAACACTAAATTTCAAACTTATATAATGGATTTTAAAATGCTTTATTATTAATGTGATTTTTTTATAGTCATATGTGGTATATTGTACTTATATGTTTCTCTTTTAATAAAATACTATAATATATAAGTAATGCAAAAAATTAGAACCAGCAACTAGGATTTAGTCTTTTATTACATTGTTTAAAATTTATTTTTTTTAAAGATGAAATGAAGTAGGAAAATTCTATATTAAGACCTTTGTTGGTAGGCTTAAATTTTCTTCTTTATATTAAGCAAGATAAAATTATTAATTTTGAAACCTATTAAGATATATTGAAGAAATGATTGAATAAATTCACAAAAATGTTCTTAGAAAGAAGAGTAGATAGGTTGATATAGAATTTAGACGGTTTGATAATCACATACTACCAACCTATATAAAAATAAATAAAATAAAATAATAAAAACAAATGAGTTTTGACACTATTGCAATATCATATTATTAAATAATTTAAGATTTTTTATCTATTATATATATGTGTATTTAAATGCTTTGTATGAAAATGTATGTGCATATATATATATATATATATATATATATATTTACATAAAGCACATGTTTTTATTAAAATAAAAAGTTCTTAAAATAAAACACTGAACATTGCAAAAACATACTTAGCATTTTTTTAAAAAAATTTAATAAGCAGGTTTACATTTAGAATGAATTAAAGATACATTTTTAAGAATTTGGGTACAATATTCCTTAAATAATATGAAAGTGTTTATGTTGTATTTATAACAACCACTTTATACACAACACTTAGATACATGACTTTCAATATACCTATTAATTTCACGCACTATTCGTAGAGTTGTGGCAGCAGCTCCAAGGGGCTCATTTGACGGGAGGTAATTTTTATACGAGCTTTTGCTTTAGTTCATAAAAACGTAGAATACATGACACATGTGTATTCAGAAATCTAAAAGTCAGTCTGCAAAAGTTAAAAAAGGAAAAGGGGGGGGGGGGTATGAGCGTCGGGAGATTGCGGAGATCCCTGAACCCCGGGTACATTTTTAGACATGTCAGGAAAGGGCATGATGGCCACGATGTCGAAGTTATTTATGAGATCGGGCTGTGCTGGAGGACGAATCGAGTAACATCTCCTGTCAGAAGCAGAGGATGACTGCCACTACGACGATGAAGGCACAGTATATGATATGGATGATACGGCGTGAAGCTCCTCTGCAGGGGGCATAGACAAGCACAGCAGCGGCACGAGAGAGCTTATTTGCCAGGAGGGTTTCTCGTGGGGAGGCGGAGAGAAGGAGCAGAGCCAGCAACTAGAGGAGAGCGGAGCCCCCTCTGAATATTGTCGGTGTTTTTTGCTGACGCAAGATTAGCGTAGACGGGTACATCACAAGATTGAGCAGGTGGGTTGGCAAGAACTGAGCAGTGGGCCAGGAAGTTTTTGAGCTCTAGTCAGGAGCGGTGGCGGTGGTTCTGGTGTTTTTCCGAAGCCCCGACACGCAATGTAGTCGTACTTCGGACGCACTCGTTGGATCAGCGTTGAAGCCACTCACAGCACATGTTGAATATTGTGATTCGGGTATCTGAATAACAGCGTGAGGTTTGCTGCCTTCTGAGCCTGGTACAAGTGCCTGATACAGTTACAGTACGCCATCGGCTGTGGGTCCGTTCATTGTTGGAGGGCCTCCCGATTTTCTCTGATCTGTCTCTTGGATTTTGGGGTGGAGTTTTTTTTAGACAGGAGCAGTTTGATGTTAGCTTCCGATCATCGAAATCGGAGAGAAGTCAAATTTCTGGCAACGATTCAAGTAACAAGTGCTGCATTGAGTGGCATTTCGGATCACCTAACTTACTTCGGAGGAGGTGCAATTCCCAAAACTCAATTTTTGGATTGGAGCTATTTTTTATGTTGTCGAAGTTCTTTAAACTTTGATTGTAGATATTAGGGTATGGAGAAGATCGTAGATATTCTGTAATGTGTTCAAGCAATTTTTTATTTTTACTTTTATTATTTTAACATGTTTATTTGAATTTTGAGTTGTTTAAAAATAACTTGGTTATTTATATGTATGACATATAATCAATAATTTAAGTTGTAGTTTTAGTTTAATAGAATATGGTAGATTTTCTAAACTATTTTTTAAAAAAATAGTTAAATGTTATATATTTAGTGAAATGCAATGTTCTAAGATTGATCAAAAGACAATGGTTAATCCTTAAGTTATGTATTTCGCATTCTACCATTTAGCTTTGATAATAGTTATGGATCAAATAAAAAAACATCTTATGTTGTAAGTATTTTGAATTTCATAAGAACAAAGTTAATTCATGAGAAATTGTGTGATGCCTATGTAGGGGAATGGAAATGAAAGACATGGAGATGCCAACAATAATAAAGGCTATGGAATTGGAGCTCAATGATATTGAGATAATGGGAGATGAACAATTTCATAAAAATCAATGCAAGAATTTAGTAGAAAACTTTAAAAAAGGCTTGCAAGGAGTTGAAGCTATAGTTGGAGTACATGTGCACACATTGCAACCAATATTGGAGGACTTCTCTCAAATTATTGTGAAAGTAAAGTGGCTGATAAAAAATTGTTCAAAAAATTGGAAGAAAGTGATATTGATGCAAAGATGTAGTCAAGAGACATTTAGGGAATTGCTCTTGGAATTGCAATGGTTTTACAATATGATTTATGAAGTTGTTTTCAAAAGAGGATTATGTCAAAAGTTGGAGGTTAATGGATGTAACAAATTTGAACCATGTGGTTTAAAAGATGTTGCAGATGATGAAAGATTATTATTTCAAAAGTTAAAAAATATGGTTGATAGTGTACCTAATGATTCAAGTACTTTCAAATTGATCAACTATATACTAGAATGGCAATCTTGCATTCAAAAGTTTGAATGCGGAGCAGAAGAGTTTATGTCTTTTCCTACAAATTTTGCTGAACCAAATTATAAAGAAAAGTTGTATGAAAGTATGGGAGTGGTAGTATATGTGACAACATGGTTGGACTTTGAAAGTATTACAAAGATTATTACATTTGGAAGTGTTGAAGCAAAAGTTAGACTTGAAAAAGAAGCACATATTTTATCATGTTTGAATCATCCAAATATTATTAAGGTGTTTTATTGTGCCATTAAAGTTAATTCAAACCACAGAGGAGAAATTATAATTGGTATGGAAAAAGGTGATATGAGCTTGTTTAAATTATTATGTGACAATCAATCTTTGAAGATGTCTTTTCTACACAAAATTGATGTAATGATTCAAATTGCTAATGCAATGCTTTACCTTCATGACATGAAGATGGCTCATCATGGTTTAAAGCCTCAAAATGTTGTAATTGTGAATTTTGATATGGACAAAATAAAAAAAAATAGTTTCATACATGTAAAATTGATAGATTTTGGAATATCTAAAGTGGAAGTAAATGGTGATGAAAGACCAACAAATCAAGGAATATATGGAATACCTCATTACATTGCTCCTAAAGTAAGATATCCTATAAACCAAGTTAATTCATTCAAAGCGGACGTTTTTAGTTTTGGAATTCTTTGTTGTGATATTTTGACAAGTGTTGCAAACAAATGGGACTATAGAGACTCTTCTATTTATGTAAAGAAGAGATTAAAAAGCTTATGCAAATTTGATCATAGACTTCAATTAATGATTAAAGAATGTTTAGATATAAGATATCCTTCAAAAAGACCTTCATTTCTAGAAATTGTGAAGAGCTTGATGGAAGTGAAGAAATATTTTCTTGAAGATGAACTTATAAAGAATGAAAAGATGATATTCAATTCCAATATATCAATTGGAAAGAATCTTGTGCGACATTTACAAGATTGGATCATAAATATTTATAAGTTGCCTAAACATAGATGCATAAGTAATAATGAAATGAGTAATGAGTATATAAATATATCTAATGATACACCATATATTTATGATTCAAATGTAAGTGTTCATGACCTTTGTAAAGATTTAGAAATAAGCAATTGTAATGTTAGTTATATACAATTAGTTTTTTAAATTTTAAATTATCAAAAATATATATAATATGATTAAAATAATAAAATTATTAGGAAATATATTTCTTAGTAATATAAGAAATTATTATTTACATTTTTGTATTTATGTGCAGATTGACAAGTATTTAAAAAAGAAAAATAAATATTCAAGTCTTCAATTAAAGTTTTTGGAATTGAAGAAGCTACTTCTTAAAAACAACATGGTAGGTATAGTTGGTATGGCTGGCATAGGTAAATCTACATTGGTGAAGGCTTTTAAAGAACACATTGAGAAAAAATGATGAAACAAAACAATGTTTTTGTCAAATGAAAACAATAATATAAAAAAAACTTTTTTTAGTAACACAACTTTTTTACAAGGTACAATCCTTTGGAATCTAAAAAATGATTATTTAACAAAGTTAAATACAACTTTACAAGTTTGAGACAACAAAATCAAAGCCATGAATCTTGAAGAAGGTAAACAATTATTAATTGAAAAACTTCAACAAAAAAGACTTCTTATCATCTTTGATGATGTTTTAAATCATGAAGATATGAAAAAAGTAGTGGATATTACAATGATAAGTGTAAGAAAAAGTAAATTTATAGTCACGAGTCATGAATGGAATATATTGAAAAAATTTTTAAGTGAATCAAGCAAAATAGAATTAAGTTTACTTAATGAGAGTTCAAGTATGGAAATATTTTTTAAGCATGCTTTTAAGGATGGACCCTTCTATATGCCACATTTATATGAATTTTCTAAAGAAGTAATCAATGCTTGTGCTGGATATCCTTTGAATTTAGAAATTGTTGATTCTTCTTTAAAAGGACAAACAAGACTTCGTGTGTGGGAGCAGGCTTTGCAAAGATTAAAAAGAGCTAGTACATATTTGGATAATAAAGATCTTTTGGCAATGATAAGGCCTAGTTTTGATGACCTTAGAGATGAAGAAAAGATAATATTTTTGGATTTAACATGTTTTTTTAGTAAAGATGTATGGATTGAGGACATTAATCAAGATACATTTTTCCAATTTTATGAATATGAGTTTGAAAACTGTGAAAAAATAATCACATCTTTAAAAGATAAGTCATTTATCAAAGTAGACAAATTTAGAATGATAACCATTCATGACTTGTTACAAGACATGGGTCGTAAGATTTCTAGAGAAGAATTCAAGGATGTTCGAAAATGGAATGAGAATTGTACATTATTTGCCAATTTTGAATCAAAGGTATGACTTCAAACTTATTAAGGCATTAATTTGAGATGTATAGTATTTATTAAAATCTAATATCTTAAATTTATATTCGTTAAAACAAAATTAGATGTAAATAATAAATATTACAAGTTTTAATGTAAAGAATGTATTTTGTTATACAAGATGATTTATATATAAGAGGCATTTGTTTTACAAATTATCAAAGTCATTTGAAACCATATGGTGGTATGAAGATTAAATTATCTCATCTTTGTTTATTGAGTTTTATGGCATGTACAAATACAAACATGTTAACTTCAATTATAGAACAATCCAATCAATTAAAGTGGTTAAAACTCTATTTTTTTGGATTAGAAAATACAATATTAAAATATAACATTGAAATTAATTTATATCTTATTCACCAAAAATATATGAAAAATCTTGTTATATTGGAGATAATTGGCTTGACAAGTCTAACATCATTTTCAATTGATGCATCAAGTATGAAGTTTTTAAAAACTATGAGTCTAAAATATTGTTCTCAACTTGAAAACTTGAACATTTATAATGGACAAAATATGGTTTTAGATAATCTTAATTTTGAAGGATGTTTGAAACTAAAGAATGTAACAAACATACTTTCTATCATAAAAATATTGAGGTATTTGAATTTACAACTTTGTAAGGATATGGACAAAATAGGTGATGAAGTGCACAAAGGATCTTCTTTAATCTCAATAGACTTGACAAATTGCTTTAATTTACAAAAAGTAGATAAACTATTTGACTATCTTGTATCTCTTGAGATATTATGTTTTAAAGATTGTATCAATTTGAAGCATATTCATACTACGTTTGATGATATGACAAACTTGAAGCTATTGTGGTTTGAAGGATGTGAGAATTTGGAAGAAATACCTATGGGATTGAAGCATCTCTCATCTTTGCAAAGATTATCATTTGAAGATTGTACAAAGTTAATGATTAAAGGTGATACCTTTAATGCATTGACATCTTTGACACACTTAGATTTGAGCGGTTGTGTTAAATTGGAAAAAATAGACAACGAATTTGGTAAGCTTGTATCTCTTGAGATATTGTATTTTGCAAATTGTACTAATTTGAAAGAGATTCATGCTAGTTTTGGTGGTATGACAAATATGAAGAGATTGTGCTTTGATGGATGTGAGAATTTAGAAGACATACCTATGGGATTAAACCATCTCTCATCTTTATAAGGATTATCACTTGAAGGTTGTACAAAGATGAAGATTGAAGGTGATACCTTTGAAGTATTAACATCTTTAACGTTCTTGAATATGAGTGATTGTGTTAAAGTGGAGACAATAGACTATAGATTTATAAATCTTATATCTCTTGGAAATATCATTTTTAAAGATTGTACTATTTTAAAGAAGATTAATACCAAGTTTAATAGTATGACAAACTTAAAGCTATTGTCATTTGAAGGGTGTGAGAATTTGGAAGACATGCTTATGGGATTGAACTTTCTCTTATCTTTGCAAGTATTATCATTTAAAGATTGCAAAAAGATGAACATTAAAAATGATACCTTTGGTACATTGTCATCTTTAACATACTTGGATTTGAGTGGTTGTATTCAAGTAGAGACTATATACAATGAATTTGCAAATCTTATATCTTTAGAAAATTTGTTTTTTGAAGATTGTACCAATTTAAAGAAGATTGATGCCACATTTGGTGGAATGACAAACTTGAAGAGATTGTCATTTAAAAGATGTGAGAATTTAGAAGCCATGCCTATAAGATTAAACTATCTCTTATCTTTGCAAGTATTATCACTTAGAGGTTGTACAAAGATGAAGATTGAAGGTGATATCTTTGGTATATTAACATCTTTGACATACTTAGATTTGAGTGATTGTGTTCAAGTAGAGACTATACATAATAAATTTGCAAAACTTATATCTTTAGAGAATTTATTTTTTGAAGATTGTACCAATTTGAAGAAGATTGATGCCAAGTTTGATAGTATGACAAACTTAAAGCTATTATCATTTGAAGGGTGTGAGAATTTGGAAGACATGCCTATGGGATTGAACTATCTCTTATCTTTGCAAATATTATCATTTAAAAGTTGCAAAAAGATGAAGATTGAATATGATACTTTTGGTACATTATCATCTTTGACATACTTGGATTTAAGTGGTTGTAATCAAGTAGAGACTTCATACAATGAATTTACAAATCTTATATCTTCAGAGAATATATTTTTTAAAGATTGTACTATTTTGAAGAAGATTCATGCTACATTTGATGATATGATAAACTTGAAGAGATTGTGGTTTGATGGGTGTAAGAATTTGGAAGACATGCCCATGGAATTGAAGCATCTCTCATCTTTGCAAGGATTATCACTTAAAGGTTGTACAAAGATGAAGATTGAAGATGATACCTTTAATGCATTGACATCTTAGACATCATAGATTTGAATAGATGTATTAATTTAGAGATAATACATAAGAGATCCTCTCTTTTTTTAGTAACTTAGGATTTAATATAATTTTAGTATTGTAACATTGATACAAAAGTTTATTAGCATGGTATAGGTGATAATATTGTATTAAAAATAGAACAATAATAGAAGAATTGGATTTAAAATTCTTCTTAATTTTTATTTTAAAATCATTATTAAAATATTAGGTATTTTAAACTATTTACAATAACAAATAATAAAAATAATAATCATTTTTGAAGTATATAAATCATGCATGATTAATTTATTTATTTCAATTATTTTTATTTAAACTCTTTATTTTATGAATATAGATCATTGCATAATGGTTAAATAAAAAGTCTTATATATTACTAAAGATATTCAAATTCAAAATATTTTAAACTAAATCCAAAATAAATTCTAACTAATTTTTAACTAAATTTTGATTAAAATTTTAAATAGCATCTAATTTAATTGGAAAAAAATTCAATCAAATCTTAAAGAAATATTTATCAAATTATAATCAATTTACAAGCCTTTTATACTCATAATTTGCTTTCTTCAAAGTTGGAGGTACAAAAAGAACTTTAATTTTTTCATAGCTTTACTTTGTTTTTTTTTTTCATTAAAATTTTTGGTTTTTTTTCAACAATTCATATAATAGATTTGCTACTTGTACAAAATGTGGTATCCATATATGATAAACAATTTATGTTTCTAAAAATCTTTTGACTTCTATTGTGTTTGTACATTCTTTCATTTTTTTTTAATAATATTTATCTTTACAATACTTGGATTGTGTTAACATGACCTACATATGTGTTTAAGAAGAATAATATTATTTTATTCCAAACATAGACTTTGTACTTAAAAATTTAAATATACCTCTTTTAACTTGAATAAAATCTTTTTATAATCCATAATATAATTTGGAATAAATCCATGATACCTTTTTTAATCCGATATTTTTTTCTTTGTCTTTTTCACATCTTTTAAGAATAACAATCTTTTTTATATATAAATCTCTAAATACTTTACTCATATTAATCATATGAACTACTAAATTAGTAGACCCTTCAAATATTATTATAATTTTTATAAAATTCAATAGAGTTTTTATTGTAATTAAATCTCTACTTTGTAATACAAATTGAAATTGGTTGTATCATGAGTAAAGATCACCTATTGAATTAATTGTTCTTCTAACAAATATCTTTGTTATAATTAAGTTGTGACAATTTTAAATGACAATTCTATGAGAGGTCTTATTTTCAATGTTACTACTAATATACAATATGATATAAGAAGACTTCTTAATAATCTTATTATAAAGTATGTATCAAAAATATTCTTATTAATTTGAAAAAATTGCTCAACCATCTTCTATAGCTTGTTCATATGCATGATAGTGTTATTACCTTTACTCACTTGCATAATCTAAAATTTGAAAATCAAGTATATTAAGCTTAAAGTATTTTTTACCTTATATATAGTAAAAAATTTAATCCTTGTAAGATGAGATAAAATATAAATAATTCCCTCTTATTTGTATCTTCTCATTTTTCTAATTCTACATAATCTAAGGATAACCAAGTAGGTTTCTTGTACTTTTTACAAATAATATTCAATAAACTCTTATCATAAAGAATAATCTAAAAAACATCTTATATGTGCTAATTATCTCTATTAATTTTTTTGTATAATAATTTATTATTATTTTATGAGAAATACACTCTAAATAAGAAAAATATAAAAAATAGGAAAAGAAAATTTTAAAACTAAAAATAAAATAAAATAAATTATTAAATTAGACATCAAAACTAAAGAATTTTTTTTAGATATATTAAATATTTTAAATATTTTTTTTAGTAATATTTGAAAAAACTTGATTACTACTAGTTGAAATACTAAATATTTTTATTGGATAAATTTTAAGAAAAATATCAATTAAAACATTTGAGAATCTACATGCAATCAAAAATAAATAATTTTTATATAATATTAGAGATAGGCAAGAAGATAGATAAATAAAGAAAACAAACAAAAGAAGGAAGGCATAGATTCATAGAGGAGATAGCAATGGTGAGGATATAGTAAAAATTTCTACTTCTATTTGCAATCATTATTAAGGATATGAATCTTAAAAACTAAAAGTTCAATATATTCTTATGTTACTCAAAAAATTAAAAAATCATTCAAAGATGATATGATATTAAAGTAGAATGGCTATTACTAAAGACAAGAAGACTAGAAAGTCATGAAATAAGACTAAAAACTAGAAAAGCATTGACAGCAATGAAGAAGATTTTAGTTTTACCTCCATATATACTATAAGACATCCAATATGTATCCAATTTGTAAGACATGTGTCTTATCTTACAAGGCAAGTTTCTTATATGCATGCCATATTCTTAACTTGTACTACAAGCTATCTATATGAGTAATATATTGCTAATTTATTGGCCAAGTTTTTAACCTATTAATCAACTATTAGAATATATATCTATGAAGCTTCTAAGAAGATTTGCCACAAAATAATATCAAATCTACTTATATTTATCTTCTATCTAATATTTTTTATCTAAATAAATAGAGATTGTAATGAGGTAATGTCATATTTATTTAGATAAAAATCTTTGACATTACCTCCATTTTTTAGAGACAAATTCCATGAAGTGCGGTCATCATATATTGAAGTCTAAAAATACAAAAAATTATGTTTTCTATAAATTCAATTCTTTATTTATTTTAAAGGTACTTAATAAGTCCTCTCAGCCATCAATAATATTTTATACTAAGGTAAAAAAATCACCTTATTATTTAATCATTTTTGAAGCCTTTGTAACTCCTTTCAATTAAAACATTTGAAATACTATCAAGAGTTATTCTTATCTCCAATAAAATCACCAAATATTGAAATTTTCTTTTAAGATTGTAATATCTAATGCATTGTATCTTACCATTTATTTGAAAAAAATATGTCATTTTTGAGGATCTTCATCTCTATTATGTTATCTTAAAGAATATAACAATCATAATGTCTTATTTGGTAAGTGAGAAAATAAGAGCTCTTGAGTTGAATCTGCTAGCTATTAATTTTTCATCTTCTTAGTACAACAAATATACAAAAATTACAAACAAAGATAGAAAGTAGAATATAATATTCTTTAGATCTTATTTTTTTATAGCAAAGATTTATTATTATTTAATTTAATTTTGATAAATATTGTCAATAAAAATCATTAAATTTTTTTATTATATTTTTAAGATTTTTAACAAGCTTTCATATACATGCACTAATATTATATATATTATCATGATATAAAATCCTAATAGATAAAATAATGAAAAAATATATATGTTGATTAGTAGACTTGATTTTTAAAATATATGTGAATTTTAAGAGGTATTTAATAATAGAATTAAGAAATTTTGGCTTGAAAAGATTGGCATCAAGATTAGAAAAAGAAGCCTACTAATATCTGAGCAGATTTTAGGATTTATCTTTTATTTGGTATGTTTGATCTTCTTAAAAGTATTTGTGCTTGTTGCCAATTTAGTGCCACGGACATATACATTTATTCCAATAATTACTTATATAATTAGGTAGAAAAAGATAAATATAGATTAATTTCATAAAGTCTTGTACACAAACTTTTTAAAAGCTTTATAGATGTGGTTTTAATCTTAGATGTGTTTGTAGGTTAAAAACTTAGCCAACAAGTTAACCATGTATTGGTAGCTTATAGAACAAATTAATTCTATATAGTTGTTTGTAAAATAAGCTAACTATGTAGCCCATACATAGATAACTTATCCTATAAGTTAAGATATGTGGCTAGCAAAGTCAACACATGTTAGAGATCCTATAGAATATTACCATATAACTCCTAGTTAGAGAATATATATAGAGGCAAGAATGAAGCCTTTTTCATTCTTGTCAATATCTTTCTAGTCCTTAGTCTTGTTTCAAGACTTCTTAGTCTTCTTGTTTTCAGCAATAGTCATTCTAGTTTAATATTATATCATCTTTCAGTGACTTTCTAATTCCTTTCAATAATACAAGAATGTATTGAGGATTTTTTTTCTTCAAGATTCATGTCTTTGAACTTAGTTATTAAGAGATATGCAAAATTTGAATTAAAATCAATGATTCAATTATTAGTTATGGAAGTTTCAATTTTTCATAGGATTTATTAAGAATTTATTTAAAATTTATTTAAAATTTAAAATTTATTTAAAATATGCATATATATTTATTTTAATAATTATTTATATATTTAGATAGAAATAAGTAAATATTTATTAATTTCATAATATTTTCTAAAGAAGCTTCTTAGAAGCTTCATATTTGTAATTTTGACTTTACACATATTTATAGTTGATTGATAGATTAGAAACTTGGTCAATAAATTAATCATATATCCCACATATTAATAACTTGTGGAATAAGCTAATTATATGGCATACATATAGAAACTTACCTTGCAAGTTAAGATATGTATCTAATAAAATTAATACTTGTTAAAAATCCTATACAACATTACCACGTAGCTCCTACTTTGATAGTATATATGGAGACAAGAGTGAAGCCTTCTTCACTCTTATCAATACATTTTTAATATTTAATCTTATTTCAAGACTTTTTAATCTTCTAATCTTTGATAATAGCCATTCTAGTTTAATATTATATCATCTTTGAGTAATTTTCTAGTCTTTTAGAAAAACACAAGAGTATATTGACTGTATAGTTCTTTGAGATTTATGTCTTTGATAAGATGTAGTATTTGTCTTCTTCTTGACATACATATTATCTTATACGATTTAAAAAGAAACATATAGAATATAAGATAGATCTTCATAAATTTAATACATGTGATTGATAAGCAACATGATTGATTTATTTACATATAAAAAAAATGGTCTAAGCCTACAATAATCCAACTTGTCTCAAAAGCAACTAATTTTGATATTTCAACAAAATAATCATACTTTATTGCCAATATAGAATTGACATTGCTCTTAGTAATAGGCATCTGTATTAGTCTTTTATCATTCTTAAACTTCTTTTAGTTATATTTTGATTGTTGTATGTAGCTCAAATAAGTAATTTGTCAAATCTTTCACATTAGAATTATCAACTTTTACAAATTTCAAAGCATCAAGTCATGGAT